CTGCACTGGATGCCGGCCATTAGGAGAACACCTTGCTGTATTTCATTGTCATAATCCAAAGGATACTGTTTCCCTGGCAATGTCTACTCGCTCTGGCTTTTATAATTCTGCTGTACCATTTTAGAGATGCACTAGTCTCTCTGCCTCCAGAGTGGTGGAACTAAAGATGTATTAGTATGCCACCACCACCCAGCCTCTAGACTAAATTTTAAAAAATTAGCTCAGAATGCCCCTGGGGACAGATGTGAACATTTTTAAAACACCTGAAGACTTAATGAATCTAATTTTTACATGCTACTGAAATTTAAATGAACCTATAGCTTCTCTTGTTTTAGATAAATTGAAAATTATTTATTTGGACCATGCAGATGAACCGTGTAAGATTTATTCCCTCATTTTTATTTGCTATAAATATCACAATGATTTGTGGGTTATGATGGTGGTTGCTTCCTGAATAACTTTCCATAGCCTTTTCTCAAAAGCATGCACTCTTCAATTATATCTTCAGATTTTTCTGGGGTGGTAAAACAGGATAAGATTGCCATCTCTACCCTCACACTGTATCTGTAGCCTCTGCTCCCTTACCTTTGGGTCCAATTGTTCTTTTTTTTAATTAATTTATTTATTAAATATTAAACAGAAAGGAATGATAAGTATTCTAATAAACAGATGACATAATGCATTATTAAGTTTTAATTTTCTAAGTGCTAATAAGAAAAATACAACAGCTGAAGAGAGACATTGGGTAGTAGGAAAAAACCCCTATAGTATTAAAATTGTTAATATACTTTAAAGAAGTACTGACCTCTGAATGGAAACCAGTACATGTGATATGTTGGGGAAGGGGTTTTGCTCTTGTTTTCACAGGAGAAGAAAAGCTATGGATACCATCAAAATTAATAAAGATCCTATTTGAAAAAGAGAAACCATGGTCGATTAATCTAAATTAACATAAAAACTTAACATATGCTTTTTATTTCATCAGATATAACTTGCCAAAATAGAGTCTCCCCTAAATTAGGGCTGGAGAAGGTTTTTGAATCTGTCTTTTCAGAAGAATAAAGGTATAAGCAGAGATGGTTCTTTCATCCCTGACCGCCCAATCACAAATAATCACGTAGAAACTATATTACTTACAACACTGTGGCCCATTCAGAGTTGTTTTTTTTTTTAATTTGAATCTGTTTCATTGCATATCTGTAATTACTTTCTGACCAGAAGCACTTCTTTTAAAATGCTAAACAGGTATAGCTAGGACCAACTACAGCACCCTGCCTGTTTGTTCACCCAGATCAACATTTCTGAGGCATGATCACCTCCTATGTGAGCCAAGTACACTGCCTCAGCTCTAAGGATGCAACAGGTCTATGTCACCATTAAGCAATTTGTAACATGCTGCTCACAGACCCCATGTAAGTACAGGACCTCCTTAAAGAGGAAGAGTTCATTCTGCCAGCATGAACCAGAAAGCTGAATCTTAAAGAAGCCATGCATTTTTTTTCTGCTAACACTGAGTCCAGAAGACTTTTCTTAAAGGAGTCATGCCTCTGCTTGTAAACAGCAGACAGAGTATATCTGAATAAAAAAAAAATGTGACTACCAAGAAGCTATGCTTAGGTTTGTTCTATTGTGTCTAGAATTTCTTCCCAAGCTCTCACGTAGATGTACTTGCCTGACATTGGAACACCATTGCATAAACAGACTGCTCTTTCATTCCCGGCTACCCAGAAACAAATAATCACATAGAAACTATATTAATTGCAACACTGTTTGGCCAGTGATTCTAGCCTATTCCGAGCTAACTATTACATCTTAAATTAACCCATTTCTATCAATCTGTGTACTGCCATGAGGTGTGGCGTACCGGTAAGATTTCTAAGATTACAGCATTGGTTTTTTCGAGACAGGGTTTTTCTGTAGCTTTGGAACCTGTCCTGGGAACGGCTCTTGTAGACCATATTGGCTTCACACTCAAAGCGATCCACTCGCCTCTGCCTCCCGAATGCTGGGGTTAAAGGCCTGTGCCACCACCACCCAGCATATATTAAACCTATATCAATATAAAACAAAACAAACTCAACAGTGGGATGCTTTATGGAAGTTAAGTGAAAAAAGTGTGTTTATCCATTAAGTATGATATTTAAGCACAATATGTAGTACTTTTAAAATGCATCTCATTTATTTAATGTATACCACAGCAGTTTCATCATAGTTGTGCAGAATCTAGGACTAAAAGAACAAAGACTCGAATCTTACAGAATCCAGACTCAAAACCAGACCAGTTCCACTAATCTTCACATTTGACACAGTTTACCGAGAGGGAAGGGGGGTAACAGGATTGAGGGAGAACTGACTAACACTTGTTGCTGCCTTAGCAACTGCTGACCAGTTTTTCAAGGGTATATCATAAGCAAAGAAACATTATCCCTCCTTTAGGATATGAAAATGTTTGTTATTTGTTGTTTGGGGTCTGGAGAGATGGCTCCGTGGTTTAAGAAAGAGGACCAGCTTCAGTTCCCAGCACCCACATGGTAGCTCCCAACTGTCTAACTCCAGTTCCTGGGTACCCGTCACCTTTATATAGACATGCATTCATATATGTAAAAACACAAATGCACATTAGAATTTGTTGCTTCATGAATTTCACTACAGATTGTTTAGAAATGAACATTGACTGAGCTTCAGAATATGAAAGAAGGAGACAAATGAATTTTATTGTATGTTTGTATTATATCACTTGTATTTCTATTTTGCTTCTTGGATTCATTAGTTTCTCTTACTAAGGCCCAATTCAACCTCATTTACTAATTATTTTTCACACTTACGTGCATCTTTTTCTGCTTCACCTTCTTCCATAGCATTCTTGTCTTTCCAATAACCCTTCCAGGTCATCATAAAGATTATTTCTACATTTGAAATGCTACTCAACCCTTCCTTCTGCTTAGATGTTCAGCAGACAATTTTGCCTTCAGTCAGGTCTCGTCAACCTCCAAAAGTTTAGATCCTACCAGTCAGTGCAAGATAAGAAGGCAGTTGTTATCAGTACGATTACATTTGCTGAAGATATCATGTATCATTTTTCTGAAACAAACTCAAAGGTCAAATATATTTTTCACCAACTTTCTAGTCTGTAGCCTTCTAAGATCACGAGCATATTCGTCTTTCTTCACAGCTATTTTTTTTTAATTCTTTTCATCCCTCATACCAAAGCTGGACAATGCAAACCAATGGGAGGAAAGGAGTCCCAAGAGTAGGCAAAAAGATATACCTGCTACCATAGGTAGGAGTCGCACAAAAACACAAAGCTAACAGTGACAACACAGAAGACCTGGTACATACAATCTGGAAGAGATGTTTTTGCCCCCTTGAAGGTCTGTGAGCCCATATATGCTTTGCTTAGTTGATTCAGTGGCCTGTGTTTTTTTGGGGATTCTCCATTTCCTCTGACACCTAGAATTTTTCTGCCTCTCCTCCTTGGATTCCCTGACCTACTAGAAGAGAGACCAGATAAAGCACCACAATTTAGATCCTATATCTGTGAATTCTGGCTATATTTATGTTTGACCAAAGCCTACATATCTTGATGTCTAACATTGGATAGAAGCTCAGTAATTATCTGTTACTTCAATAAACTGCATCATTGTGCATAGGACACTGAGAATAAAAGTGGAAATTATTATTATTTTTTTTGGATTTTCGAGACAGGGTTTCTCCATAGCTTTTGGTTCCTGTCCTGGAACTAGCTCTTGTAGACGAGGCTGGCCTTGAACTCACAGAGATCCGCCTGCCTCTGCCTCCTGAGTGCTAGGATTAAAGGCGTGCGCCACCACCGTCCGGCTAAAAGTGGAAATTATTGGGCTAGAGAGATGGCTCAGCCGTTAAAGGCTAGGCTCACAACCATGAAAATAAAAGTGGAAATTATTAAAGGGAGAGAAGTAACTGCTAAAAAATTAAGATCACTTATTTGATTACTCATTTGAATAAAAGACAAAATTCCTCGACCAATAAGTAGTTAATTTGCTTAGTCAATTTTTTCACAATAAAGACATAACATGTGAGTATACTCACATACCTGCCCTCAAGTGCATGAGGCAAATATATAATATAGATTTTCTTTATCTTGAATCATGTAAATAGTTCCATTTTCAGTCTTCAAGCACTGGAATTACAGCAGAATTACCAATTGCTCTTTCCCAAACTGTCTTAAGGCTAAAGAGAAAAAAACAGAGTAAAAAGAGCATTTCCCTTTGTTGTTGGAACCCTCTGAGAAACAGGGGACTTTTTGAAATGAGCTCCCCTACAAACATATCCAGTGAATAAATGAGACATTGTCTCTAAGACTTCTGAAATTTTTATCTCAATAGAACAGCAACATAAGACTTCTAGATGGACCCTAGTTAAAGAACTCACAGTTGTGTTTCAGATATAAATCAATGAAAGAGTGCTTGCCTAGCATGCAATAGGGACTGGATATAATTCCCCAAACACACAGACTGAAACAATATTCAAAAAAGTACATTTAAAAGATCTCATGAGATTATTTTTTCTGAATATAGTATCATGCAGTGCTTTGTACTTAAATCCTTGTGATTTCTAACTCTAGGGATATTATACTAGTAGATGACTGCACAAATGTGTGTTTTCCTCAGTCTTCAATACTGACAAAGGGTAAAATTACTTTGGATAATTATAGAATAAATTATGCACTCTATCTTAAAAAGATGAGTTAGTCACCCTTAACTGACTACTTCTGAAATTTCCTTGATAATTAACTTAATTTTGAATAAGGTTAAATAATTTTAATTCTACACTATTCTCATCATTGGGGTTTTTATGTTCTTTTAATTGTTCTAGCCCTTGAGAATTTCAACACTGTGGATCAAATCCAAGGACCCATGCATGTAAACAAATTCTCTACCGATGAGCTGTCCCTCTGGTACTACCTCTAGTTGTAATCATCACATGTCCTGAGATTATCCCATAACAAATACAGATTCTACTTAATTAAGCAGGCTTCTCTTCAAAGTTTTTCTCATTGCAATGTGGACATCCTTATTTCTTATGCTGTAGATGAAAGGATTCAGCATTGGCCCCACAATGGTATAAAATATGGTAGATACATTATCACCTTCCACAGATGCACTAGAAGGTTTAAGATACATGAATGCTGCAGCTCCAAAGAAAAACAAAACTGCTACAACATGGGAGCCACAGGTACTGAAGGCTTTTGATCTACCCTCTGCAGAACGAATGCCAAGAATGCTGGAAAGGATCAAGGTATAAGAGATGAAGATAGTCAGGCTGGGCACTGTTACATTGACACCCACAACAATGAAAACCACAAGCTCATTGATGGCAGTACTTGTACAGGAGAGCTTCAGGAGAGGAAGTACGTCACATACAAAGTGATTGATGATATTTCCATCACAAAAAGTCAGTCTCAACATGCAAACTACGTGGGCCATTGCACCCACAAACCCCATCACGTATATACCAAATGTCATCGAATGGCAGACCTGATAGGACATGGTGACGTGATAAAGCAGGGGTTTACAGATGGCAGCATATCTGTCATAGGCCATTGCTGTCAAAATGTAGCATTCATCAATAACAAAGAAACAGAAGAAAAAGAGCTGAGTCATGCACTCTGCATGGGAGATGATGTTCTGCTTTACAAAACTCACCAGCATCTTGGGGATTATGACAGAAGAGTAGCAGAGATCTGTGAAGGAAAGGTTGAAGAGAAAGTAGTACATGGGGGTGTGCAGGTGAGGGTTTAAAACAATCAGAACAATCAAGCCCAGATTCCCCACCATGGAGACCACATAGATTCCCAAGAACAGGAAGAAGAGAGGCAGCTGAAGCTCTGGCTGTTGTGTCAATCCCAGCAGGATGAATTCATTCACAGAAGAGTCATTTAGTAAGGCCATTCTTCTCTGGGTCATATCTGTGAAAACATTAAAAATCATAACATTAAAAAGGAATCTCAGACTCTCCAAACTATCCCCACTAAAATGAGATTATGAACCAGTTTCCAATGATAAAGTCAAGCTCACACTTCTATCAGCCTCTGTTTTCTTCATGTTTTGGAGTTCATATCTGGAAATAACCAGCAATAAACTGAAGGCTATTTCTTTGAGAATAGTATTCAGGGCACCTATTTTTGCTTTGAAGCATCACTGTTCTTACACCTTGACAATTCATCTCCCAATTAAGGATCAGTGGTCATCTCAAAAGAGAAGAGACAGTATCTAAGATTGCTCAGAGTTGGTTTTGGAGGGAAAAAAAAAACATGCATCCAATTCATTGCTTACCTTTGTGCATAGGCAACTCACAAGTCACCTTAGTAACTCTTCTACTCTCACAGAGGGGCAAGTATGCATATGAATGAGTTGTAAGGTATATAGCCCAGAAAAAAAAATGTTTTTTACTGTTTAGGCAGCTTTTTGGTGGTAGGAGAAATTCATTTTTGACTGGGTAATCCAGAACACTTATTTCTCCAGATTCTTAAAAGCCATGAGTTGTAGCTCATGATTTCCAGGGTGACTTTTCCCAGAATGTCTCCTGTATCCCAGAGGTTGGTAAATATATCAAGTGATGTCACAAGAGTCACTGGTAATGACCCAAGAGAGTTTTATGAGTTTGTCCTCTTAGGGACATGATTAAAATTTGAGAGATTTGTGATTACCAGGTAATTCCCCAGAGATCAGGCTTTTTTGCCAAGTTGCTTACAAACTAGTTAAATAGTAATAGCATTGGCTTATTGGAGGTATACACTATTGTTTTCTTTGGTTGTTATTGTTTGAAATTTTTATACATATATACATTGTGTTTAATGAAGTTCATCCTCAATTTCTTCCCCTTTGATTTTTCTCCATTTCCAACCATATTCCCTCCTAATGTCATCTTTTCTCTTCAATTTCTTGAACACAATGACTTCTCTCATCACTACCTGTATATGAGTATAGAGCCATCTTCTTGAAAGTAGGTAACCTCTCGGGGGCTGCATTCTTGAAACTAACCATGTTTCTCACAGTAGCCATCCACTGCCAACAGTTCCTCAACTAGAGGTAGAATTCATTACCATCCCCCCTGCTCCGTTCTAGGATTTTTATCAGGCTTAATTTTTCAGGTATCTTATGCATACTGTTGTAACCACTCTGAGGTCCTTGACACATCCTGAAAATGTTGTTTTAATGTTGTCCTCTATGACTTCTTTTTGTTGTTGTTTTGTTTTTTTGAGACGGGGTTTCTTTGTAGCTTTGGAGCCTGTACTGAACCTAGTTCTTGTAGACAAGGAAGGCATCAAGTTCAAGAGATTTGCCTGCCTCTGCCTCCTAAGTACTGGGATTAAAGGCAGGCACCACCACTGCTCGGCTTCCTCTATGATTTCTGACTCTTACACTCTTTCAACCCCTATTTCCCTTATAATCTGAGACGTGGGAAAAGGAGTGTGATATGGAGGTCCCATTAAGGATTGATGATTCATATTCTCTTATTCTCCACCAGTTTACCCACTGAAGACATCTGTGTTAATCACCATCTACTGCTAAAGGAAGCATCTCTGATGAAAATTGAGAGATTCACTAATATATGGGTGTAATGGAAACTCATCAGGAGGCAATTTACTACTGTATCCAAAGCAGAATAACAGTCATAAGCACTTCCCTCAGGTCTATTCCCTATGACCTTACCTCAGTAGTTGACTGCAAGAACCACGTTAAGAATGAATTTTGTCTATGAAGCAAGCCTGAAACCTAGTCCAAAAGTGCTTGATTGTTGATTACTCCTACAATACTTAAGAAAATATTCCACTAGTGGGTATGTTTGCCAGGTTAGCTATCTATGCCTGTAGCCTCAAGTTTCACACCACAGTGAAATTTAGCGTTGTATTTCTTCTTTGATATCACATGTAGACTTTTAGCACTATAAATGCTGGACAATACCAGACTCAACTGTGAAATTCTTACACAAGACATGACCAACTTTCAAATAATGATGTATCCTGCTATCTCTCTAAGTAAAGAGAACAATTAAGAGACAGCTATGAGAGAAGGATTTGTTTCTCACCTGCCATTGAAACATGTGAGCAGAATGAAAACTTATGATGATTTTATACAATGTAAGTAACATTATGACAACGTTTCACATCTGTGTGTTTGCATTAATGATTTGGAATTTGGAATTGTATATAGATGGACCTGACCTACATACATATTTTAAGTATGAAATTGTCAAAAAATAAAAGAAGTGAGTACAACAAAATGGAAATAAGTATACATAGAAAAAGTTTTCTTAGAAATGTTTGACAATAGACTACTAAATATACACAAACTTTATTTCTCTGTTTTATGACATGAATATATGATGTCTTCTGCAATATGGTGTAATTGTCAATTTTGGGGGTAATCAAGAGCAGTGGCAATAGCTTGCAAAATTAGGAAGTCTATGGGGACACAAGTGGCTAACAACTCCAAAAAGGGTACCTCATTCTAGGTTATAGGTTTTCCTTTATTCCCGTTGTGTCTAGTATAGAAGCAGTGTCTCCAAATGATTAGGTACTTTAGTTTAAACTCATTTTAGTCATGAAACTATTTTTGGAAGCTTATGCAGTATTTTCTTAAAGGTCCTTAATGTTAGTTATCCTTCCTCAAACTCTCTCCTCTACTCTGCCCTCCTATCTCCTGCCTGACCCAATCCCTTATGCTGTTAGTTCCCTTTTTGTCTTGCACTTCAACTGTGCTCCAGTGTGTCACATTTTATTCCTGACAATTTTGGGACTCTTCATTAGAAAATCGTGAAAACCTGTTCCATATACTATGGATTCTCCATATATTCCATTATTAGATAAAGTCTTTTATTCTTCTTTGTAATGCCTTTCTTCATTCAAATCAAACATGCCTATTAATCTAAGTCCATATCATCAAAGGGATATGACTATTTTTTTCAGAGCTACTTCTGAAGCACTTAAAATAATTAACCTTATATATGCAAGGGGTGCTTTATAAATATAGATAGAAGAAAGAACCATTAGTATTCCTTCCCAGTTCTCTAAGTATACATAGTGAATACGACACAGAATGTTTGTCCCACAGGCAAAAACTTATATAGCTTCAGTGCTCTTGCTTATAGATAATAATGCGGACAAGGTGACATCAAGTCGGCATGTAGAACCTCAGGTTCCTCTTGAGGTCATCCAAAGGAATCCTAGATCAGAGTTACTAAGATCAGAGGGAAAAAATACCATAGCTTCCATGCCTGAATATCATTCTCTTCTGTTGATAATACCCAATGTTTATTCCAGCACCTGTAGCATATGCTCAGACCAAGGAAAATCTGTAATAGTGAGTTATAATAAGGTCCTAAATTCCAAAATCAAAGCTCTCTTCTTTTTAGAATATCATTTAGAGCTACTAAATTTTGTGACACAAAAGTAAAACAAATTCAGTGCTCAGAAAAATTAAGATGGCCAGAGAGAAAAGAGGGAAATGACTAGCAATGGAAAGAGAGAAATACAATAGGTTGCAGAAACAAATACAACAGAAATAAGTAGAAACAGAAGAAAAGGTGGAGACAGAGAACAAGTAAGTAAATTATTCCAAACTCACAAAAATTACTTATAAACCAAAAATTCCCCAAGGCGAACATGAAATATGACCAACAGAAAACAGATTCCACAGGGTCCCACAGTGATCAGGACTTAGCGATTAGAGGGATCTTCCTTCCCTCCTGGCCTACATGTTGTCCAAAAGTCCAAGAGGGGAAAAAGACAGAAGGGCAACAGAAACCTTAGTGTGTACCCCTTAGTCATGAACAGAAAGGGCCCTCTAGGAATCAGCTCAAATTTATTCCAGAGCATAAGGAATATACAGGATTGGGGAGCCTGGCTACAAACCCTACTTTGCATTAAGTGGCACACTCCTATCTAAAGGCTTTGTATATGGTAGTAGGTTCCTATAGCACAGCTCCTAGCTCTAGTCTCCTTAGCAGGGATCTGTGTCAAGGGTCAAGCTAAAGGTGAGTCTGGTTTTAGAGTCAGCTTTGACATTAGGTCAGTCCTCAAGGCCGAGAGACATCCTTCAGAAAGGCCAAGTGAAGAGCAGGAAACATTGCTGGGGAGGTAGAAGGACATTTTCATTGTATAGCATACAGAAAGCTACCAAGCTATGGCAGATTGCAACCTCAACCAAACAACAATGCCTTCCAACCATGATTCATTAAACTATAGTATATATGAAATGCTAAGAACTTTTTCTGTGGTTAGATTTGTTTTGACTCTCCTTTCCTCCAGTCCATGTAAAGTACTTTCTAGCACTGTAAATGATAGTGCTAGTTGCTTCTTTGCTTGAAGTTAGCCCAAATCACCTCAAGCTCTTGAAATCTATCTGTCCTCTCATCTGTGAACATCTCTGAACCTGAGAGAAGGGATGTGATCAATATTCCATTTATTACTGAGCACCACAAAGTTTCTTGTTCTCTGCGTGTTAATCAAAAGAAAATCTCTATATCAATTATCATCTTATACTAGAAGAAGGTGCTATTACATGGGCTGATAGGTACACTGATCTATGTGTATAGCAATAATGCATTAAGAATCATTTTAACATATGTCCATTTAAAAGAATAATTGAAATATGTCATGCCCAAGGACCTTAAACCTATATAGTGACAGGTTCTTGGCCCCACTAACAGTGTCAGATATACCATGATATTCATTTGAGTAAAAATAGCCAGATCAAAAATGGCACTAAGCAAAATGAATATCATCTGTGTAAAGAATGAACCTCACTTCCTATCTCTTTCCTGTATTAAAATAAATTATAATTTAGTCAAAGACTACGACATAAGACTGGAAGTCTTAGAAGAAATCATGGAAAAAATAGTTTAATACATAGACATAATAGACAAAGATTTTCTGAAAGGGTTATAGCAGCTCACAAAACAA